TAGGAACTTTAATATATACATCATAGTAGCTTAATTTTTATATTTCTTATAATTCGTGAACATCTTTGATTTAATGTTGTAAATTATTGGCCTTTATGTTTTGTTTTAACAGAGACCAATCCCCGCTGACTTGTATAGAGCTGTGCGAGATTCTCAACTCATAGGAATGCCTGGTTACACAAGAGAGGTATTCCTGTTTTTAGATGGATCTCATATTAGCTCAATTTGTGCAATACCAACAGGACCAAGCATGGCTAAGTCGAGTGCTTTCTGGAATAGATGTTTTTATTCTTCCTCCCTCATGGATCTTCCCTGCTCTTCGCTGTATAAGTTATGTAAATAAACATAACTGATTTAACCTGCTATGCTTCTAGTTAAATATATGATTGTTTATTTATGAACATGCGTGATTTGACCCGGCTTTCTGTAATAGTTTTTTAATATTCTTCCTCTCCCATGGATTTTCCCTGCTTTTCCTGGTGTAAATTATGTTGATAAACAGGCCACACAACATCCATGTAGAAAATCCACAGTGCTTCTAATTAATATATGATTGTTAATTTATTTCCTTTTCCATTTGATGATGCCAGGGTTTACCTGTCATTGCTGTTGGTGTTGGGCTCAGCGCATATGACAAAGCACCAGTAAGGATCACATACCTTGATGCATAAATGGTGCCAGATAATTAAAAAGGAAAACTGGCTCATCGGACAATAAGAATCTGCAGAAACAATGGGATTATCTGCACATCTTAAAGAAATTGCATTGTTTGTGAATCACAATCTAATATTGAGTTAGAATATATTTCCTATCTCATTTTGCAGCATATGTGAGGGAAAAGGTTGGGAGATCATGCGCATGATGCAGCATGCCACTTTTTAGTTTTATTTTGGACATGTGATGCTTATGCTCCGACAGTGAAGGGTAGAGATACAGCACATCGTTTCCTCAAGAGTATAATTAGTGTTAACTAGATATTATATAGAAAACTGAACATGATTGAAAATTTGGAAAGATAAAGAAAGAAGATTGTATTGGCTTGATTGTGCACTGATTTTCAACTTCTCTTCCGTGTGCTCATATTTGACTAGGCTGAGGGTTTGGTCAGAGCTAGTTTTTAAACCACAATATCAACATTTTTTTCCAGATTAATTGACCTACTGTTCTTTCTTATTTTCTGAGTTTTTATTTTATAACTTCTGGGTGTAATTTTTCACGTAAGAAAGCTTCTACAGAGACAAAAAATTGCATACCTCAATAATGATGCCGCAGTATTTAGTATTCACATGGCATCTGGAGCCTGGACCTATTTTTAACCTATTTGATATTGAACATTCAGGAGCATTACTATTTACAGTCGCACATCCAAATGAACGAGTACAGAGATCGAGTGATATTGGTAAGTATCTACAATAATTTTAATTAAACTGCTGACACCAATTCTTTGGTTCATTGCTTGCTTATTTGACTTCTTTGTCTTAGCCAACAGCCACAAAGAAGCATGGCCGATTCATTGGCACCTGTGTGAAAGTCTTTGATATGACTGGTTTAAAGATATCAGCATTGAACCAACTGAGGGTATGACTAGAACTCTGAAGCTTGTATCATTTTTCTTTTCCATCTTTTTGTTGATTCCTTTCATCATGTGAAAGTCCCTTGTTTGGAGTTTGTCTTCATTGATGTTAAGTGAAGGTTTCTCACTTCCATCTTGTTAATGTCTTCCTGGATAACACTTTCTGCTTGAACATCTGCAGCTTCTGACAGCAATATCTACCATAGATGACTTGAACTACCCAGAAAAGACAGACACGTACTATATAGTTAACACGCCATATGTATTCTCTGCATGTTGGAAGGTTTGTGCCTCATATTGTTCAAGAGTTTGGACTGCTCCTTTCTTTATACCATATAAAGCCCAAGGATTAACAACAACAACATTATTATTTCATAAACAATTCGCAGGTTGTAAGGCCTCTTTTGCAAGAAAGAACAAGGAAGAAGATCCAGGTGCTGCAAGGTTGTGGGAGAGACGAGTTACTCAAGGTAGAAGATATCTGCAATTACCTCCCTGAGATATAATATTATTGTCTATCTTTTATCTTTCATTGTTCATATGAAATTGATCCTGAGAAATTGGAAGTTTCATTATCAAGCCACTTGGGGCTTTTGTTTGGGAGGATCGATTGAATGGGTGGATGGTAAAAACTAAAAAGTAACTTGAGTGGGGTGAATTAAGATGAGTTCTCCATTCTCTTCTCCGATCCTCCCCTCCCCCATCACACACCGTGCAAACAAACTGTGGCGTTTAGATTGGTTTGGCTTCCTTTTATATTTCCCATTATTTGTACCGTTTTTGTCAAAGAAGAAATAAAAGCTACATTATCATTGTCCTGTCTTTTTTTCCTTATCGATTGATTGAGTTCTAACTGCAAGAAAATCGGCATGCTAAACCATTTTCGAACTTGAAAGCAGGTCATGGACTTTGCATCCCTCCCACACTTCTGCAGAAAGGAGAGTTCAAAGTCATCTCGACATAACAATGCTGCAGGAACTTCTGAAAATTGCTTCTCCTTTGATCACGCCTTCCATCAAGAACTCTACAATTTTATCAAGCAGCAAGCTGCAGTTAGGGAGTCCATGGCTCCAACGAGACAGGGATCTTTCCATGTAGACTTACCAGAGCCAGACCCAGATGATGCCAGAATTACCAGAACCATTGAAACACAGTTCCACAGGTTGGGAATCGTAGTTAATAGCAACTGAAGCCATTGAAACCCTGAGAATACTTACTGGCAACACTTTTCTGTACTATTTCAGACCTCAAGACGCTTACAATTAAACACTTTATGACCCTTTTTGATGAAGGGTGCTACACTATTTTTTTCCCAAAAGAAAAAGAAGAAGAGAAAGTTATATGTACGAACTTGTCGGATGTAATACTGAAATGCTTGCATCAGCTCGATGCATGACTATATACGTGGCTAATTTTACTTATTCTGATTTTACCTTAATAAACCTTATGAGTCAATTAGTATCTCAATAAAGATTTCCTGGAGTATTTTGTTTCAACTCTAACGTTTCATATTTATGTACAGCTCGGCATGGATAATAAAGGGATGGGATTTTATTACTGAAAATCCTGTTTGGTATGTTTGAAATAAAATAAGATCGGAATATTCTTGTATTATTATGTTTGGTAAGCTAGAAATATAAAAGGAATAAAATAAAACAAAATAACAAATATAGTGCTATCTCTAATAATGAAATATTAGTAATAAACGTATTTAGGAGGAGCTTGGAGTTTGGACCTTACGCGTTTCCTGCTCCATTCCATAATTATATTATACTATTGAACTCTTTCAAACCAAGCGTCCCACAAAGTTGATCCAATCCAGATCCCTAATCTTCAAGAGACCTGAAACATGGAGCATTCCCCGTTTGCCAGATTTGCCCTCGAATTATCAACCCAACAATAATCCGATGTTTAAGTTTACAAATTGAATAATAATATTATACCGCCTCTGATTTTTAATATAAAAATTAGTTAGGAATTTAATTTAGTCCTAAATATAATATTTCAATATATTTTGTCTCCCAAAATTACAATTTATTCTTTAAAGTGTTCCTATTTATAACACATGTTAAGGAGTTTTCGGCCAAGAGTAGTCAGAATGAAAAATAATATTTTAAAAAAATCAACTCATATTTGTAACAAATAGCTAATTTAATTAATATTTTTAATTTATTTAAATGAGTTAAGACGGTAATAATAAATGGGGAAGTAATCATTTGTTGAGATAATGTTTATGTTTTGGATTATGTTCAACACGAAAGCTGGGGGGACCCGTAAATAGTTGAAATTTTGAAAGGCTCATGGGTAAAATTAAAACTAATATTATATTATTGTGGGAGATAACAGAAAAAGTTCATTAAAAATTGACCTCATAGTTCACAGTATCTTTATCCCTTTGTATTATACTATAATCCCAATTCAGTAATTCAAAAACTCCAGCGTGGTTGCTTAGCTTAATTAAGATTACCTACAAGAAGTCAAAATTGTCGGTGCACGTATTATATATATTTGTTGGGAACTTGTGATTGATGAAGTCACGGGCCACTTAAGGATGTGAAGACAAAAACGACAAGTCGTGAAGTACAGAATGAATCAGCATTCATGATATCATGTTTTTAATGTTGTTTATTCATTCTCTGAAGAGAGAGAGAGAGAGAGAGTTGTTGACGCTGCAGAATTCAAGAAAGAAACAAATCAATGGCGTTTAGAATATTTATATTTTTTAATGTTTCTGTAAATATTTCAATTGATTGAAGAAGATATATGTCTGGATGATTATCGGTATTAAACTTATTAATAGAAGGTTTTTATGACCGTTTCAATGCAAGGACTTTTGAGTTTGAGCCCTTGTGATAAAAAAAAATTTAATAAATAAGAGAGTTTCAGCACAATTTGGAATGCATGGCACATATTTTCAAATTATAAATAATTAAGAGAAATTTTGAATTTTTTGTTTAGAGAAATAGATTTTTTTATGATAACAAATTCCATTATAAAGAATTAAATATAATGGAATCAAAAATTAGACCTGCAAACTGCAAACGATCTAATATATACATGTGTGTGTGTGTGTTTTGCAAACGTATTTGATGCGGACATCTTGAACCACAAAACACCAACTGATATGACATGGCTTTGTCCAATAAAATTTAACGAGAAAAGATCTAACAGGCTCAATTGGCAAACACCAACTGATATGACATGGCTTTGTAAGCGGCACGGACCATCCGAAAGATTCGATAGAACAATTACCAACTAATCTTAAGTACGGCTTACCACAAACGCGTCTATCTCTTAACAATTAATCCAACCAACATGATTCTGTTCTGGCGAAACATATCTCGACATTAATGGCAAGGATCCTTAATAGTGTAGCGTTCTGGAAATAACGTTGCCAACATGCGAACTCTAGGACAAGTTGACAGGTTCTGGGAAAACCAAAGCTATAGACTTTGATACTAAAAATGAGAGACATTACAGATTAGTTCCACCCAAACTCTATTAATGTTCTTATCTTCATCATTCAGATTTTCCCGGAAAAAATTGCCCCGAAAAGGAAAGGGTGATCATTCTGAGTATAACGGATATACACAAGCACTGCACTAGCATTAGACTACAATGTACAGAGACAATAGAAATTATCTGACACACCATGCTAAAAAACACAGCAAATCAGTTGTTTCTTCCTATTTCAGCTGTTTGTAGCAGCTATAGGCAATTGCTACAGACACAGCGGCAAAGACAACAGCAAGAGCAGCATACGTATCTTCTGGCTCCCAGCCATCAAGCCACATTGGCATGGATTTTCGCCGTGACGCTCCTTTGCCACCATTTATTCGAGAAACCAGTCTCTTGATGCTGCCGCTGCTGCAATTATTGTCAGCTGAAAGTTTTGCTTCCGCCTCCATGGCACCAGAAGTACTAATCTTTTCCTCACTGTCCCGGCAGGAAGAGAAGTTCTCGTTTTGCTGGCAGCAGCTCACAGAGTTGCCCTGAGATTTTGCATCAGATTTTTGTGTACCCATCTGACCCCTGATGGCAACATACAAAGTTGCATCAAATACAAAAAATCTTTGCCAGCGCCAATAATTGGATGATTTTGAGCAGAAAGAGAGTGCATAAATCTGAAAGATCAAAATTATCTCCCTCCTCAAGAAAAGTAAGCACCAGGAGGTGTCCTTGATAAGTTATGGGTGAAACAAGGATTTTTTTTGCCATTATAATAAGAAGAAAGCAATACTACTGAGGGGGGAATAAATCTTCACATTAGAAGTACTGCTTGAGACGTCTTTCTGGGGCATTGATTGAGAGAACACACTTTACGCTTTTCAACATGATCTGGCTGTGAAAGAATTGTTTTCCTTTTTTATTTTTTTGGTGAATAGATTTATTTTCCTTTTTAGATGAAAGGTGTCAGAATTTTTTAACTCTGCCATTTACTTAGAAACTTGTGTTGATCAATACACTTTTCTATTAACCTTCCCAAGCTTTTCTTAGAGACTTTGCCTATCAAACTACAACATGCATTAGGAGCATGGCTTCCACTTCAGCTGGGATCATCCCCTTGCTTAGCCAACTTGAACTACTTCTACAACCTTCACAAGGAATGAATTTCTAAACCCTGACAAACCAGCACACCCCAGGTGGGCTATTGTCTTATAAATGATACAACTTGAGCAGAAGCAGAACTGTCAAATTAAAATTATGAAAAGAAGCGTTATAATACACACACACACACACACACACTTTACCATAGAAGCATTATAATATATTTACCTCCACAGTGAGTCCCAAATCTCCCCTTTTATAATATGCTGTTGAAGCAAAACAGGCACATCATCGGGAGTAACATACCCATACCTATGTATATAAATTGAAATGAATACTAATCAAGTCAATATTAGGTATATATTCCAAAAAAAGAAAACGAAAAATTCAGTCACCAAAAGGAAGCTAATGACCAGGCCACCCCTCCTTACCAGTGCCCCATGACATCTCCATTGATGCTTGATCCAAATATAATGACATTTCCTGCGTACTCATCCCCCCCAATGTGTGAGCATGGGCTAACAAACACTTTACCTTGAAGACCAAGTAATTCAGTCTCTTCCCTAAATTTATTTACCAAGACAGGTCCGCAAACACCACATCTACGATCACGGGAACCATGTGAACACACAAAAATGTGTGAACCTTTTAACGGTTCAGGAGATCCAGGAAGCCATTCTCCATCCTTTACAAGCACTTCTTCAACAAATGTTTCAACATCAAAATGAGTCAATCTCCTGCAATTTCACTAACAATGTTGTTGGTTATGAATCAGGGCAAAAACATGAAGACTATTCAAAATCCATAGTTGGAAAACTGAACTTGTACTAACCTGTATCTGATCATGTCTGGAAAGATTAATACATCTCCATTTGATGTTTCAGTCCCGTCATGTCCCTCGCATATTGTTAAACGGGTCTACCAAAAGGAGAAGTTGAAGACAATCAGACACAGCCAACATAATCATAAAAGGCTAAAATAAAATACAAAACAAAAAGAAAACAACAGCTTCACAATATCAAAAAAGGCATGCAGTTAATAATTTAACTGACTTAAGAAAGCGTCACACCAATCAATGTAAAGTTATTCATTCATTTTCAAAGACAGCCGACACTCCAGGTAAATCTGTAATGTAAGAGATAACTCCTCCTGCTTTACAACAATGTTGCAGATGACAATTAATCCATCCTAGAGTAATAGACCCAGAATCAAATTTACTAACGATATGATGTTTCTTGTAAATTGAAACAAATGTAAATGGAAAATGGACAATGGTCATGCAACTCTTGGACTACTGAAGACATCTGGCCCTTTGTATGTTGCTGTTTATCTATAACTGCATACATTAAAGAGTGTAGAAAAATGTACAAGGTTAAAGCTATGCTTGAACTACACATAACTAAATAAGATTGACCTGACAAATAAAACAAGCTAGGCAGCAAGATAGATTAATATCGGTAATGACAAATGTTTTTGCTTGATTCAAGAACAACGCAAGAACCTCAACTCATATACGTTAGTGTCAGTTTCCAATATGATAAAGGAAATAAAGAATCCTTGCCTTGGTAAGTTCTCCTCGAATAAGCCATAAATTAAATGCAAAGCAAGAACCCTCTTAGCAAATTTGTTTAAAAAAAAAAAAACAAGGTATCAGTCCAAGAAAATCAACTGCTTTCACGATCCGTCCTGGAACTTGCATACATTGTAAAAGCGACTCACACGTTGGTCGAAAGAAAACGCTCAGAAGCAGTATGCAACAGAATCCAATATCCATTACACCAATTTCACTTAAAAACCAACTCAGTAGCACAGAAGAACGAAAGACCAACAACAGCACTCGAAACATTTCAGGAATGAAATTAAATAAATTAGAATGCAGCACTACCTCCTTCTTCATATCGCTCTTCCTGGCCATGACGGCGGCATAAAGAAGCCTAGGCAAGCGATCAAACTCGGAAGCCTCAATTCTTGGAGGCCAAAACCGCGGGTTCTTGTAACAAAGAAAGACATGCCGTTGATAGAACTCGACGGTCCCGGCGAGCGGGCTCTGCCTGAAATCTGGTCGGGAGAAGCCGAACTCTAGGTCCAAGTTGGTGCTTCCGGGTTCACCGAGGCCAAGAAGACTGTCGCTCTGGAAACTTCCAGAGGCACTTCCGATGAGGGAAGTGGGGTCCGTGAGGTACCAGTCGAGCTGGTCAGAGACGGTGATTGGAGAAGAAGAAGAAGATGGGTTGGTGATGAATGTGAGAGCCTCTTCTCTGTCTCTGTTGTTGCTGCCCATCATCATCACCATCAAAACAACGACTTTTCTCTCTCGCTCGCTCTCTCTCTCTCTCTCGCAGAGTATCCTAGTGAGAGCCAGTGAAAGCGGAGCGTGCTTTAGCAATGATGACAGAACCGAAGCGCCACGGCCAAGAAAACAGAAATGTCATGTCCAGTCCCGAATAATGCTGGAACCGGTTCAGCCGGTCTCTCTCTCTGTCCTTTTTTTTTTTTTGGCTGGAAGAGGTAAAAAACTCACCCCTTTGACTCAAACGACGTCGTTTGGATCAGTGGTAGGCAATCCCCAACCCTATGCCAGTGTGCCCCAACTGTCGCAGCCTCTGTCTCGCTGATCCCTCACTCTCACGCTGAAGTCTAAACGTCTCAACGTCGTCTCACCGTCGTAGCTCCGGCGTCGACTGCGTTCCCTCTTCCTCTGAAGGCCACGGTTGTCAGGTTGAGTTCCTCTCTGTGTCTCGCTTGCTCCTTGCCTAATTTTTCTGATGGGATTATGGGAATAATAATGGGTTGGGTTGACAGCTTGAGGCTAACAGAGGGAGGGAGGGAGGGAGAAATAGGGTTAAATGTGAACGTAGAGGAACATTATCGCCGCAGAAACGGTCTGAACAGAAAGATATGTAGAAAGTGAATTATCTATTGGACTTCCACAAAGTCGATTTTCATAATCATATCTCGTGGTCCTAATTAGGATGCGTTTTGTCTATGCTTAATTTCATGCTGTAAAACTAAAATCCGCTGCTCTCTGGTCTTCATTCTTAGCTCTTAATCCGTTTTACATTTTCATTCCCAATATCTGTCTGTGCTGTGAATTTGAAATATTCATTGTATATATAGAGAAGAGATATGGAATGAATGATGTTTTTGGGATTGCTCCAAATTTTCCTGTGTATTATAGCATTCTCCTAACTTTTTGCTAGTTGATGACGCTTAACCGATTTGAAGGTGCAATAATAGATACTTGTGAAACACTGCTATTAGCCTGCTCCTATTAGTTAGGGGGAAGACGATGTGAGCTAGTTGATTCACTTTAGTCTTATCTGGCATCTCTATCTTGGCAAGTTTAATCTGATAACATATGTAGTCATCACCATCTTTTTTATATGCCCCCAAAATTCGATGGGATAAGTAGATTAAGTGATGTGCTGGAAGTTGGATTAGTGAGTCCATATTCCTTGGTTGGTTTGTGCTAGGCGTGCTTAAGTTCTATAAGTGACAATTCGGGAGCCTTGGTCATGACTAAAACCATTCTGTGCGCAAGCACGTTAAGCATTAAATAAAATCTCATACTGTTCTAAGGCAATTACCAGCTACTAGTGAGAACCATATTTTTATAATTACTATCCAAAGGAAAAAATATTTCCATTAACTTAAATTCATAAGTCTTCAGTCATGAGTTTTTATTTCACATATCAAAATTCAAATGTACATCACAAATGTGCCTCACCTGTGCATTTTCTAGGATTTTTTAGTTTCAGGTTTTCTGCATTTCCAAGTTCCAACATATGCTTTAATGATAATTTACCCAGTTCAGTTTTAGTTAGGTGCACTAATGCTAGGGCTTTGGAAGAAATGCAGTTTTAATTACTTCATGTCATTCATGCAAGTTCAAGTTCAATGAACACATGCCTCAATATGGCTTTTGCACGGCTACTAGTTTTGTTGTAGCTCGCCTTGATTGTTCATCTTTCTTAGTGCTTCACTAATTTAATGCCCTGCCAAGTTGTCCTGTAGGCTAAAATGGATGCTTTTAAAGCTTTCAAAGCATGTGTTCCGGTAGCCTGGAGCCCAAAACTATATATAACCCTTGTAAGGGGAATTCCAGGCACCAGGAGACTCCACAGGCGTACTTTAGAGGCTTTATGCCTTCGCAAATGTAACCGTACTGTTGTGCGTCAGAACAATCCCAGTATCAGGGGAATGCTCCAACAGGTCCCTACTAACTTTGTGCATAATACACAAACACACATGTTTGTTTCGGTGGCTGATTTTATATTGGTCTTAACATGCTACCGGGAACTTTCTGGTTTGTTATAGGTGAAAAGGTTGGTCGTTGTAGAAACAGAAGAGATGTATAAAGCTCGTAAGCAGAAAGAGGCAAATCATAAGGCTTTGCGCCCGCCTTTGGTTATAAGCCACCCCACGAGTCCTCCTGCTTCTGAATCTGCTTAGGCCATAGCAATTTTCCTCACAAGTTTTGCGTTCATATGAATTTCGGTACCCAAGTTAGTAAAGCAGTGGTATATGCAAGAATGGGACAGGCCATGTTATTTTCTTCATCTTATTCTATCCCTCTGTTGAATATGATTGATATATTGATAAATACTGTGAGTTGATTGGAGGGTTAGAAAGCTGCGGTCAGAAACAAGAAGGATAAGAACTCTCTTCAGCCAAATTCTGTTACTTTGTGAACTGTTCATTGAATAAATGATTTGAAACAAATGGTGGTAAAAACTTTCAGCAATATATTTTAAAACAAATAGTATTTATTTTGAACTCTCCTCAGCCATTGTCAGCATTTATTTAGTTTTTTTTAATTATTTTACAATAGCCGCTCATCTTCTTGTTTCAAGGGAAAATTACAACCAAATCCTACAGAAGAAAAATAATTACCAAAAAGTTCTAATAATAATTTCAATAGCCTATAATAACAAGTCTTATAGTGAGAATGACAACCTTTGGGGTTTGTTTTTTAATTATTTTTCTTGTTTGGGACCTTATCGTAATTCTCGCTTGTTTCAAACACTCTGATTTGATTTTCTTTCGGCATTGGAAACATGAAAGAGTATTGAAAACATTAAAGAGCGTGTTTGATATTGGACAAAAGTTCTTCTAAAAAGAATTTTTTATAACAAATTGAAACAAATTTTTTTATATATTTATTTTGTATAACATAAAATCATTTTTAAAATTATATTTGGGTTTTAAAATGAATATTGAAAACGTGAAAGATGGATCTTAAAAAAAATTTAAAAAAAAAGAGTATTAATAAGTAGCACAAATGTTTTAATTCCAATTGAGTATCATGACTCTGTTCTAAAATTTCAAAATCTTTAATTGTAATTAATCTTCTTAAGAGATTTGTTAAATGTTATTTTTCCCAGCAAGAAAAGTATGTGTCATCTGTTATTTAAAAGGAAAAAAAAGAAAAAAGAAAAAGAAAAAAAGAGGAGTATGCGTTATCACTTACCATGAACAGAATCGAATGACATGGCCACAGCCACATGCTGCCATAGCGAGAACAGCCAATTTGAATGACTCAACCAACCACATCTATTGCCACTTCACCTTAATCTGGCACCTACTTTTTTCCACGCAACCTCAACAGTCAAACTCTGTTTGATCCGCAATTAATCATACTACTTATTCAGGAGGATCCTCCCATATTGCCAAGAAGTACTGCATCTCAACACCTCTAACCACTTCATCAAAACGAAATAAATATTAAGTTATTAATATTATCTAAATAAAATTATCTGTTGCTCCTGAAGCATTTTTTTTGGGGTTTTTTTGGGAGGGGGGTGGTTATATCTATACGTGTTCCAACATTCTAAAATTTGTGCAAAATGTTGAAGCATCAAGCACGTGGCCAGGGGTTGCTTCAGCCCTACGTCTCGGCGGAGCAGTAAAGGTCAAAGAGTGGTTGAAACTTAACAAGTTTAGTAGTCATCATCAAAGAGTCCATTGAAAGACCTCCCACCTGCATGAAAGATCACTAGCAGCAGCAAAATACCGATATATAAACAATACTACTTGTTCCCTTTACAGAAAACTATGGACATTTCACCATTCTTTTCCTCAAACACTACCACCACAATCTGTTCACATTGGTCTCAACTACACACAAGCCACTATGCTTCTCACATTCATGAACCGCACAAACAAATTTCACACTGGGTTTTCACCGGGCAGGTACGATGGAGATCCGCCCTCAACCTGGTTCTTTTTCCGGTGAAAGATGCCAGATATATTAGGCAAGAGTACCTTCTTTGAAATCGAAACCTTTTCTTTCTCCAACTTGCGCACCTCCACAGCTTTTGGAGGTTGAACAGGCTTTTGAATCGAATAATGGAGTGGAGATGACTCTGATGAAATCTGTGTTTCAGCCAATATACGCGATGCAGCTTCTGCCGCTTTCTTCTGCTCCCGTTCACGCCATTTGCGAAGCTCATTCTCCACGACTCTCTTTGCAGCTTCAGCCATCTCCGCCTTTTTCAAGGCCTCCTGTGCAGCCGCCTTCATATCGTCAATCTCCTTCTGAGTTGCCTCTAACCTTTGGATTGCCTCCTGTTCACTGGCCTTCACAGCTTCAACCTGTGCCATGGCAGCAGCTACTTTCATTTCTGCTAATTTATCAGACTCCTCAACTTTTCGACTCAACGATTCAAACTCCTCCTTTGAAATTGTAATTTTAGCACCAGATTCAGAAGTTGATGCACGCGCTGCACTAGTCCTCTCAGATAAGACCCTAATCTGATCAAGAGCACTTGCCTCGGCTGCTTTTGCTGCTTCTGCTTCTTCCAGCGCTACTCTAAGCTTATTCTCTGCATCTTCTAATGCAAATTTGGTGAGTTCAGCTTCCTTCTTCACTTCTTCAGCCTTAGCCTTCATATCTTCAGCTTCCCTCCGTGCATTTTCAGTTTCAGATGACAATTGATTCAGTGTCATGATCATTTCGTCAGATGCACCTCTAACCTTGGACTCTTCTGCCATGCACGCTTCCAGCTCAGACTTACTTTTCCGGAGTTTGACGTGAAGATTCCCCACAACTGATTCAGTTTCCGATTCTTTCTCCTTCAATTCAGAATGCTCCCTTTTCACATTATCCAATTCCACCTTAAGAGCTTCCACCAAACTTCTAAGAGACATTTCCTCTTCAGCAACTTTCTGCAATGATCCCTTAGCATCATCAAGCTCCAATGTGACACTTTTCACGGTATCTAAGTCTGAAGTCTTCTTACTTTCCATTTCTTTTTGCAGAGCCCCAATTTCAGTCATTGTCTCGTTCAGCTGCACCTCAAGATTTTTTATGAGCTCAGGATTGAATTCCTTTTTCAAAGCAAGCAATTTCTTTTGTGAATCTTCAAGGGTGGCTCTATACGACTGTCTCAGCACATCTTTC